GGCGCGCTCGCAATGGCGCTCGGTGCGCGCTCGAGGCCTGCCCGCCTCAAGGGCCCCGTTGAGACCGGGCTGCGGCCTCGGGGAGCCCGGGGACCCCGTGTCCCGCCCTGGGCTCCCGTGTCCCCCCCGGCTCCTCGAGCGCGCAGGGCAGGACGGTGGTCGCGTGTCCATCTCCGCCGCTTCGCGCTATCCCGTGCCGCGGCGACGCGATTCCCGTCGTGCCGGCCACGAGAACCGGGGCCTGGTCCGGCCGGGGGCTGCGCGGCCGCGGGAGAAGCGGGGTCCCTGCGGCCGGCAGCGCTGTCCCGGCAGCCGAAGCCCCGTGTCTGGGGCTCGCTTGGGGAAGCGGGCGCCCGCGGGGTCTGCCGCAGGCCCCTGCCGCTGGCATGGGGGTTGAGACCCCCCGGGGGCTTCCCGGGCGGCTGTGACCCCCCGGGGGCTTCCCGAGGCCCTTGGGGCACCGCTCACCCCAATATCCGCCTCGCAGCGCCCTGCCCGCCCCGGGGTCTCCAGGCGCCGCGGGGCGCTTTGCCCCGGGGAAGGGGCTTCGCGCCGAGGGGACACGCGTTCCCGACGCTGCTTTTCCTTTGGAGCGCCCGGTGCAAGCGCTACATCCAGCTCCCCACACCCCAACCGGAGGGGTGTCCTGGGAGGAAAGGGGTTCCCAACACGTCCGGAGCTGGCGGAGGTGGGAAGAGCTGCGGGAGGACCGTTTGCTGCGTCCCTGCGGCTCCCGAGGGCCGGCATTGCTGCCGACGGGCGGCCGGGAGCAGCCGGGAGCGGCTGCACGGGCGCTGCCGCCCCGGAGCGGGTTCTTGTTCCCGCCGTGTTCCGCTTTGGAGCTGCGCTCCGGCGCTCGGGGCTGTGCAGACGCGGGGCGCAGCGCCGTTTCCCTCCGCCGAATCCGTAGTGGTGTTGTCCCGAGCCCCAGTCGCCGGCTCCTCATGCTCCACGGCACCGCTGCCCCTTCCCTCCGGCTCTCGGCCAAACCGGCCTTGGGAGACTGGCTGCAATCCGGCGGGATGAGGCAAGCGGATGCCAGGGCGGTGAGCAAGGCGCGCGGAGCTGCCCGGCTCCCTGGCACGGGGACGGGCCCCTGCTAAGCGCACAGCACAGCACACCGGTGCAGCGAGCTGCCTCGGGCCTCAGCCCGCTCCCGGGATGCCGTGGATCCGGGCGGGAGCTCCGCAGCGGCCTCCTCGGAGCCGGGAGCGATTGCGAAGCTCGGGGCGGCCCTGCCAGCGCCATCGTCACGTGCTTGTTTCTTAATTATTATTATTTCCCCCCCCACCTCCTCCTTGTGCAGGTAACTAAAAAACAATGTTAGAGTTGAGCCACAACCGTGTTTCACAACCATGCTTAAAATGGATATTTTTGTAGCATAGTCAGGGCCTAAAACAGCCTTGCAAAATTCTGCTCGCCCACGCGCCTGGCGTGAGTAATTTTCTTTTGATGGGTGAGTAAAATATCATTATTTTTTTCATGCTCATCTTGGAATGGGTGGGAGAGCGGATCCTGACATTATTTTGGATTTGCTCCGCAGCGGCACCGCTCTGCGCAGGGCGCGAAGCCCCGAGCAGCCCCGGGACGCCCCGGCGCCGCGCGGGGCCGGGCTCGGCTAAGCCAGCGGACATTGGCACCCTGTTTGTGGGCTCAGCTCAACCCCAGGAGGGCACGGCTGCATTAGTGGGCTCAGCTAAACCCTGGTCCCCAGGACGGGACGTTTGCACCCCGTTTTTGGGCTCAGCCAAACCCCAGGCCCCGCGAGGCGCCGTCTGCACCCCGTTTGGTTCCCGGTGCCCTGGCTGCCTGCGGTGCTGGTCCCAGTCTCTGGCGCCCGGTCTCTCCCGACAGAAGCTGTTTGCGCTCCGTGCGGATAATTTTTTCCCTGCGCTTTCGCGCTCCGTTTGGAGCCGTTGCCATGAGTCCCTGGAAGGCAGTGGGAGCGGGCGGGCCGGAGCGGGCGGTTTCCATGGCCACGGAGCAGCGCTGATCTGGAGCGGTGCCGCCAGGCCGCGGTGCATCCCAATATCCGCCGCGGTGTCCTGGCGCTTTCCCTGCGGCCGCCGCACAGGGAAGCGGCCGGAGTGGAGGGCACAGAAACGCCCAGGGCCGGTGTGGCCCATTCCCGCAGCGCCTTTCCTTGGAAAAGGGAGCCTCCTCCTGCCTCTGCGTGCAGCTTTCCCTGCCATGCCGGCCCTGAGGGCCGTGCTCGCCGCCTGCGAGCCATGGAGGGGCCTGCGGAGCCCTCCCGCTGCCGTCCCCCCCTCCACGTGTCCCGCATCCCGGGAATCCGCCGGGATGCGGCTGGGAGCGCCGGGGCCGCCACTCCCGAGGGGCCGCGCGCCGCTCCGCTCGCTCCGGCGCTCCCCACGCGCCCCGGGGAGCAGCGGCCCCTTTGGGGGAGGGAAAAGCCGTGTGCATGGGGGCTTTGCTGGGGGACTGCAGAGCAAACGGGGGGGCTCCCGGCTCTCCTCGCGGGGCTCCCGGCGCATCCCGAGCCCAAGCCCGCGGGAGCCCTGCGCCCACGCGCTCCTCCCTGCTCCAGCCTCTTCCCACCCGCTCCCGTAGGGGCTTCAGCCTCCTTTTCCCGTCCACCTCTGTGTTTCCCCCCGCCGGATCGGGAGCCCGGGGCTTCCCTGGAGCGGGAACGTGGGCGGGAGCGCGGCCGGGAGCTCGGGAGCTGAGGCCGGCACGAAGCCGAGCCCCGGCGTGCGCCAGCTCCGGCCTCCCTGCAGCCCGTGCAGGGGCGTCTTGAGGCACCTCCGCCAGCGTGGGGGCCGGGGCCGCGTTCCCAGCCCCTCGTGGGACCCTCTGCTCCCAGCGTGCCTCCCGCAGGGCCCAACCTCTGGCTCCCACCCGGGACCACGTCCTGGGGCTGGACACTTTCCAACACGGTGCCCTTGGCCTTTGCGCCCTTCCCGGCCACGTCGGCACCCCCTGGTACGGGACCCACGGGACAAACCCCGATGCCCACGGCATCCTGCATTTCCAGGCTTTGCTTACATCCACTCCTTTTAACATTGCACATAAGATCCCTGCCTTTTTTTTTTTTTTTTCCTCCTTCTTCACTGCTTTTGTTCCTGCTTATGCATTTTATTTCTCTCGCTCTCTTCGCAGAACCGTATTAAAAGGCAAAGATTCAGAAACCAGGAAGATTATCTCAAATTGTAAAATAGCAAGAAGGAAAAAAAAAAAAAGGTGGTGAATAGACAGTGCTTGCACAGGGTTATTTTTTTAGAGGTTTTACTGAGACAGACATAATTAGCCAACTGGCATCACGATGCTAATAGAGATATTTACTGTTTCAAAGTGTATTTGTGGCTTTGTTCAGCGCTCTCTTGACTTTCTTTTGTTCTGGAAGAAAGTGGCTGAGATTTTATAAATATATATATATAAATATATATATATTTTTCTCCTCTCTCTGCAATAGAGAGGAGCTGGGAAGGCCGTTGCTGCCCGTTGCGCCCTTGGTTGCATCAAGGAGGAAGAGGGAGCCCCGGAGCCGGCCGGGCCGCCCGCGTCCCGCTTGGCTCCTGCTGCCATCGGGAGCTATGGATGCGGTTGACCCCGGATGCTGGAGCACCCGGGGCTGCTCCGGGGCCTCGGCACCGCTGCCCGGCCCGCGGCTTCCTCCTCCTCGCGCATTCCCAAGCGGCGGCATCGCGGAGATATTTAAGCGAGCGGCCCCTCGCCAGCTGAGCTCAGTACCCCGCGAGCCGCCACTGAATCCTTGGGTCTTGGTTCCACCGGCAAGCGAAAGAAACGCAGTGATTTGCAGGGAGGCTGCGCGGCGGTAACAGCCTGACCGAGCCAACCTCGCATCCGTTGTGTAATTTATTTTGAGCACTCTTCACCTTGGAGCTAGCTCGCGTAGGGAAAATAATGTAGGTAACCCAGATTTTGCTAACAACCATATTAGAGATTTTAAGAATGAAGGCTGTGCTGCTGGCAGGTGAGCGGATCCTCCAGCTGTTGTATCGGAGAAATCCTTTGAAGCAGCTCGCGGCTGCAGGCACTCAGGCTGTTACTTTTTTTAATATCCTCTTTCTAAATATTTACAGGGTTTGTTGTTTGCTTTCTTTTTTTTTCCCCCCTTTGGGTTTGTTCCTAAACACGGCATGTTCCTCAGGCGCGTGCTTTGCTGAGAGATGCCTGGAGCATCCTCGCGGAGCGGTCACGCTGCTGGGACACGCTCGGGAGGGAAGAGGGGAGAGGGGAGAGGGAAAAGGGAGAGGGGAGAGGGAAGAGGAGAGAGGAAAGAGGAGAGAGGGAAAAGGGGAGAGGGGAGAGGGAAGAGGGGAGAGCAGAGAGGGAAGAGGAGCAAGGACTGGGCCAAGCGGGTCCCCGTCCCCTCCATCGTGTCCTTCCCCGCTGCCGCTCGCTGCCGACTCCGCTCGCTCACACGTTCCCTTCTCTCTCCCTCCCCTCTTTTCCAGGATCCCGTTCAAGATCGGGCAGCCCAAGAAACAGATTGTACCCAAGACAGTGAGTAAACCCATTCCCCCTTTTTTAGCTCGAGCCTGCGATCATGTGGCCGATGAGTCAAGGCAGCGCTTCGGCTCGCCCCGTTTCGCGAGCGCGTGTGCGCGCGGGGGAGGCAGCTGGGAGCCAGCGGGACCTGTTGCTGGCTTTGACCGGCGCTCGGCTCCCCGTGCCGGGAGTCCCAGCCGGAGCACGGATTCGGGGCCGGGAGCTGTTCCCTGCAAGAGGGAAGCGCGCTCCGGCTCTGGCACGGTTTTCCTGGGAGATGGTTGCACGGGCTTCCTTCCTTCCTTCCTTCTCGCAGCAATGGCTTGTTTGTTCAGCCTTTCGGAGCAGATGGAGGAGGAGGAGTGGTTCAGATCGCTGAATATAACTGTTTCCAAAGAAAGGCTTATAAGCTGAAATGCTTAGTGCTCGGGCGTGAATTAATTTGTGCTGCACAGCATTTGCTTTAAAAGCAAATTAAAAAAGCATTTTGTAGTCTCATGTATTCGCGGCTCCGAACCTCAGCGCCGCTCCTCGCAGCTGCCTGCGGCGGTGGCCCTTCTTTAAGCAGATGGTCCTTGCCCTGCTCCCATGCAGAAAGGCCCAGGGATCCTGCCCGCGGGCGCCAACCTGCCGACCTGCCCTGAAATAGGTGCCTGGTCTCTCTAGCGGCACCGGTGCCCTAATCCCCTGAACAGACTAACATCCCTGATCCTGCCTCGCCGGGACACTCATCACCGCTAATTCCTCCGGCTGCGTGGGCAGTTTCTCCTTGGGACATGACATTTTCCCCCGGGACGCTCCCTCTGTGGAGCGCGGGCTGGTCGGGGCTGCTGCTGCCGAGCGGCGATTTGCGGTGACAGCTCCCGGCCGGCCGCACGGCATCGGAGCCGCGCACGCGATGGGGTCGAGCGCGGGTGAACCCCCTGTCCCTCCGAGCTGCCCTTTCGTCACGGGCTTGGCCGGGGGCTGGAAGGGGCCCTTCCAAACAGGAGCGTTTTGAGGCGCTGCCGCCGCCGGGGCTCTCGTGGAGCCTCTTAGCGACCCCCACATTCTGCCTCTCCTCCCCTTGCTTCCCAGCACGGCCGTCCCTCGAGGCTGTTGCAGGAGCCACCTGCTCTGCCGCCCGGGTGTCTCCAACAGCTTTCTTGGACGGCTCCCTTGCACCACTTCCCGCATCCAAATCCGCTCTCCTCTCCCTTTGCCAGTGCCGGCTGAATTCCCGCGGCGCCCTTGGCTGCTGGGAAGCGCTCGCCCGGGCGGCCTCCCCTGGGCGCGGGTGTCCCATGGAGCAGCTCCGGAGCTGTGCTCCCGGGCACTCGTTGGCAGGGATTGCTTTTTATATATATATATATATGTATACATACATGTATGTATGTATATATGTATGTATGTATGTATATGAGTATCCAGCAGACAGAGGCTCATTCAGGAGTGCTAGCAGCTCCAGGCCTTTCCTTCCTTCCTTCCTTCCTTCCTTCCTTCCTTCCTTCCTTCCTTCCTTCCTTCCTTCCTTCCTTCCTTCCTTCCTTCCTTCCTTCCNCTTCCTTCCTTCCTTCCTTCCTTCCTTCCTTCCTTCCTTCCTTCCTTCCTTCCTTCCTTCCTTCCTTCCTTCCCTCCTTCCTTCCTTCCTTCCTTGGCTCGCTGGGAGCCGCATGCCAATTGTGGAATGGCTGGAAGAAACTGTGGAATTTCCCATTGCTGGTGACATTGTGCAGGCCGTCGGAAGCCCCAAGGGAAGCGGGCTGCGGGCAGCACCACTCCTGCCCCCAGGGACCCTGGCACGGGAGAGGGAAGGAGAATTCCACGAGTGGGCAGCGCAGGGAGCCGGGAATCCCGCAGGAAAGGCGGCCTGGCGGAGCGGGGCGAGCTCCCCCCGCGGCGTCCACCTCAACCTGGGCAAATCCAACCGCAGACAGCGTAATCTGTCCCCTGCAAAGCGCAGCTGTCACCGGCTGCCGCGGGGCCGCAGCGCCCTAACGCGCCGCGCGGGACGCGCTCCCGCACTCCAGTTAAACTAATGCGCGGCGGTAGGAGGCGAGCCTGCGGGAATTGCGGCTCCTGCTCGCGTCCCGGTGCCGCCGGTGCCCCGGGACATCCCCGGTGCGGGCAGCGCTCGGGCACGGGGCAGCAACGCGGGTGCAGCCGGTCGGCGCCACGTCGGGCCCTGCTCTCCGGCGGCGCCCGCTTTATCCGAGGCGGCTGGGAAGCGGAGCCGCCCGCGGGTCCCCTGCGTGTCCCCTGCCCTGTCCCGCCGCGGCGGCCCCGCTCCCTCGGGAAGGGCGGGAGCGCGCCCGGAGCCCCGTGGCACCGTCGGGAAGGGTTTCACCCCGCTCTCCTCCGTGCCATTTCCCACCCGCTCCGATGCTCTGTTGGGAATGGCGGCCTTGGCTGCTTCCCGTTGCCCCAGGAGGACCGCGTGTGGAAACCAGCTCATCCTCCTCCAGGAAAAGAAACGGACCCAGGGGGATAAGGACGTTCCTCCCAGCTCCTTATTTCCATCCCTTTGTAGCACTGGTCTTGCTTCCTCCCCTCGTAACCATGGCGTTCATTATAGCACCCCTAACGAAGGCAGGACGTTAGCACAGGTGGAGGGCCCCGTGTTTGCAAACAAGAAGAGGTGGGTGAAAAAGCTGGTCGTGATTTCGTTTCAGCGCTCTTTAAAAGTCATCATTCTTTTTGTGGATTTAAATAAGAAGCCGCAGAAGAGCAATCCTACATTAACTAACCCATATGCCTAGAAGAAAAAGTGCTCGATGCAGAGACACATTTTGAATTTCAGCTTTCCGAAAAAGCCTGCAGAGAAGTGGGATTATTTTAATATTACGGAAACTCCCCTTAAGGATATTATAATTTTCTTGCCTGTACTTCTTGTTCTCATCATTCTTAATGTGATAATCCTATCCATAGCCTTTTGCCGTAAGCGCCGGATCCGTGTGGCCGCTGACGATAGCTACCGGGAGCGGGAATGGCGTGCCCTGCAAAGTGTGCTGGCCTAGCTCTGCGCTCGCCCTCCTTGCTCGCTCCGAGGGCTCCGATGCCCCCGCTTGTCACCTTGCCCGTACGTGCGGCACACGAGCCCCGCGGGACGGTGGCGGCCCTGCTCGTGCCCCGCGGTGCCCGGCGGGACGCGGCGGCGGGCGCCGGGGCCTGGCAGCCGGTTGCTGGTGTGGGCGTGACAAATAAAGAGCAGTCCTTGGGCAGCTGTCCCTGCGGGGCTGGCGCTGGCGATGTGAGTCAGGCCCCGCAGCTCAAGCGCTGCCTGCTGGAGGCACCTCCTTCGCGGGCAGAAAGCACCCAGGAAAACCAGGGAATCTTGGAAACGGCCCTGGAGAGCAGCCGGCTGCGAAAGCTACGGCTTCCTTATCCATTAAGCCCCGGTGTCCTTCTCCCATCCCCGGGACTGTGCAGAAAAAGGGGAATGAGCAACTTAGGGTGTGTGTGGGCACTGGGGAGGTCTGGGGGTAGCCACATTTCGGCACTGGGAGGTCTGGGGGTAGCCACATTT